AAGAACAAATCGTAAACTTAACAAAAAAAAATTGTTTAAGAAAATAACAAAAAAAAAAAAAATAATAACATTCTCCCTCCCTCCTTTCACACCACACTCAAACTAGAAATAAAATGAAACAGAAATAATTTTAACAAATATCTGATACAATATAATTAACTTTAAATCGACAGTCTTTTTGTTCAATTCACGTATCAGATATAGAGATTAACAATCAGCTGTTCTTTATAGAATTAGAAAAAGTTCACTTTAATAAATAAACTGTATGATAGTTTTTGGAATTTCTTTTCTCAAATTTTATTTAAAAACACAATTCACTGAAATTCACTATTCACGACACTAGTCACGCTGAAGGAATCTCGCCACCACGTGCTGATCCGCCCCGATAAGCTCACATGCGGACAATCGACAATAGAGGATTCACCACGGTAGTTGGAGGTCCGTACTCGCTGGTCTCATCCTCCGCTTGGAAAGAACGTCCTAGGTCCTTAAAAACCATACACCCTCAGCACCCGCATGACCCTCCATACTGTAAATTCACACCACGTATAGGTTTCTTATAGGTCTTCGTCGAGTAAATTTACCAAACACTCCTCACGCCTTACTACACTGTACGCTCTGAAAATATCATACGTTTAACTAACCCTAAAATAACTTTACACAGAGAAAAACCCAAACAAAAGAACATACTTACAACGATGAAAACTGACCAACAAAACAAATACGCTTACCGGCTACTGATATAGGGAAAACAGAAATATATGCTAGTCCAAACAAGCCTTCCGTATTCTTATGGCTACCAGTTAAACAGTCCCCATAAACTGTAGTATTCGCCACACTCCAAGAACGTATAGGACAAGTACAAACGTGGCATCCGGCTGGTGTTGCTACCGCTCCCTTATCTGACCACTCTGGCCTAACCGGTCACATTTATACTCACGCCTCACGCTAAAAATAACTTACACTCTACACCCGTCTATGGTAACCCACTACCGTCAAAACATATCAACAAAAATGATAAACCAAAACTAAACACCCATGCATTCACACAAAACTAAACAATAATTGAATCAACTTTATTACAGTGATGTATGAAGATAATGAACATTAATCAAGCTCAAAAGTTTCTTGAATAAATATAGATAAGTAAATAAGTAAACACGGACCTCTAACTATATCACAGGTGGGATCAAATGTCATGGAGGAGTTAGCATCCCCTTTCGCCGATTGAATTCGCCGTCAGTTCATTGCTTTGAATAAGCAAGCGGGAAGTCTGTCTACAATTCAGCGTCAAAATAACGTCCTGTCAGTTTGTTTTAGAAATGCGGACTTCAAAACAGACTGTTAACACCTTTGATTCATCAACTAATTGGTCAATGTCTTGTCTCCTTTTATACAATATTCATACAGAAGGTAAGGTGACGATTGAAACGTTGATGTAATCAAATATATCATTAATTTTCGTTATTAAGTAACCGTTATAGTCTTTTTTATCCTAACACAGATACTGAAACATCAAAGTAAAAGTATATAAAATACACACAATCACTCCTTCGCAATTTGCTATGAAACATATGGAGTTAACAAACAGTATTCAAGATCAAAAGTCCATAAAACAATACAAAACAGGAGCAAAGCAAAGACAGTCCTCCAAAATATCAGAGATGGGATCAGGTGCCATGGAGGAGTGAGCCTCCCCCTGCCCACCGATCACATCCACCGCGTGCTCCCTGTCATGATCGGGAATCAACGGGAAAAATCCGTTGACAATTAATTGGATATATAATGAACTAGCAATTAGTATGAAAAATGTCAGTCAGCATTTGACTCAATGATAAATTGCATTTGCTGACAATGTCATTGTATTGACCATAAATCTTACAAAAATGATGACTTTAAACGAGACTGCTGATATTCTTGTTTCATCAACATGTCTGGAAATGAAATACCTTGTTTTAGAAATTGCTCATTAGTAGAACATGCTCTTGCGTATCGAATCAACTGAAATACATAAACTCTGTATGCAGGAGATGAAAGTGTTTTGCTGCATAAGTAAGGGAAGACAAGGATAGAAAAGTAAAAGTCATTGCGTTTATTATAGAGCTTGGTTGATACATTACCATTAACGTCTTTTTCAAGTAAAATATCCAGATCTGAAACAGACGTGTCAGACTCTGTGGTATCTTTTATCTCAAGCTCACCAGGATATATCGTATCAACATAAGAATGGAAATTACAATTGTTAATTGACAATGCGTCGTCTATATATCTAAATGTCGAGTTGAAGGTCACAGCAAGTGTTTTTATTTCTTTTCACGCATAAGATATTGCACAAATAAAACGTCGTCGATATATATCAAACGTCAAATTAAAAGCTAGAGCAAGAGTATTCCACCTCTCTGTTGAAGGTTTTTAAAAAAAATCCTGTTTCATGAAATATGGAGAAAAGAGTTTATAAAAGCTCATAAATGGATACAACTGTACTCAGAGAAATTTCAGGTCTTTTAAAGACGTGATCTCTAGATTCAAAAAGCCTCGATTTAAATTATAGTTATATCCGAGTATAGTTGTATACAGTATAATTTCTTTCCATGTGAATTTACCGTTCACGGTAGCTCAGTCGGTAGAGCGCTCGCTCCGTGATCGGGAGGTCGTGAGTTCGAATCTCGGCCGCGACTGACCTAGTCGTTAAAATTGGTAGCAACTGTTCCTTCGCCATGCGCTCGGCACTTTGAAGTGAAAGTTGCGGGTCCTTCGGATGAGACCTTAAAAACCGAGGCCCCGTGTCAGCGGCAGGCGTTGGCACGATAAAGATCCCTCACTGCTCAATGGCCCTGAGTGCCGAGTAAAGGTCAAAATTTGAAGCCCTTCACCGGCATACGGTGACGTCTCCATATGAGTGAAAAATTCTCGAGAGGGACGTTAAACAATATACAATCAATCAATCAATCCATGTGAATTTTTTTAACAGATACATTTTGCAAAACTCTTTTGAAGATAACTGTATTTTTCGATTGATATTGTTATAAATGTATTGATCTATATGTATTTTTAAGGTGTCGCCTAAGAAAACCAATAATTCCACAAAAGAATTCGAGAAATTCCAACAGTCTTTAAAGAAGGTAGTCATGGAAAATGAAAATATCAGACTTTCACAACATATAAGGTAACCATTCAATTTTTTTTAAACATATTGATCATTTAACTTTAAATTAAAAAACAAACCAAATATAACTGCCCAATTGACAAAATGTCCTGAAGGCAATTTTTAATGCATTTTGAATATTTCATGGATTCTAAAAGAACAATATTATAAATTATCAAATCTGAATTTTTGTGTTTCTACATCAACTTTAAGTATTTTTTCTTCTTCATTTTCATCAATTTTACTTTCACAGTTGAATAATGACGTCATGTTACTATCGTACCAACGTCAAACTTTTTTACAGTAAATATGTTAAAACTTTGCATAGTTTTACTACAGTAATAGATATATGTTGTCGAATATTTCTAAAAGCTAATGATGGTAATAAGTTTTATCCATCTATGATATTTTGAATGAGTGGTTTTTTTTGTTTGATTTACATTTCAATATGTTGGGACGTCAGGAGGTTCTGAGAAGTACGCGACTTCCGTTCAATTTCAAATTATTTTCTCAATCCAAAAAACTTCATTCCGTGCAAAAATCGTTTGTGAAACCTTATTTAATTATTTAATTTCAAACATTTGATTCCGTAAACACGTTTTTTTTTTTTATTTCATGTAAATCAGAATTTAAATGTGTTTCAATATTATGTACATTGCTGTTAGATAAAAGCAGAGTTGGATCGTCTGCTAACATATCAATATAATAGTAATTTACACATAAAGGAAGATCCTTTATATACAATCAAAATAGGAGTGATCCTAAAATACATTCCTGTGGTATCCCTGATGTGATAGGTAAAATATCGGAAGAAAATGCACCAATTTTTCTAATTTGGGCATTTTCGTTTAAATAAGACTGAAACCGCCTAATTGTAATGAATCAAAATTTTAATCATTATGTATTCAAAATTCTGTATTAAGATATCATGGCAGACTAAATAAAATGCCTTACTAAAACCTAGAAAAGATATTCCAATTAAATTCCTTTGGTCCATTGCATGCAACCAGTTATCGGCAAGTTTGGTTTGTGCTGTTTTGCAAGAGTGGAATTTTCTAAGACAAGTTAATCATGAGGTCAAATGCTCCCGTAAATTCACGTACTTGATTCGCAATGTGCTTTTCAAAAATTTTTGACCAAGTTGGTAAGATAGATATTGAGCGGTAGTAATTGGGATCACTTCTTTCGCCCTTCTTATAAATAGGGGCGACTTTGGCATATTTCAGCTGCGAATTGGAAGATGCCATTAGTAATCCTAGCATTAATGAGATGAGTTATGGGTTTAGAAATTACATTTGCAGAAAGTTTTAAGAAACGGGGACCGATGACACCTACACGTGCTGAGTTATTAATGTCAAGTAAGTGTAGCATAGTTAAGACATCGTCCTGACTTGTAGGAAGTAAGCTAAACACATTTTCATCATTGAGTTTGGACTTCGTGAATTCTTTTAATTTTTGGGAATTTAAGCTTTGTTTTTAAGTTTTTGTTAATACATCGCCAGAAATTCTTGTGAAATGCTAATTAAAAACATTAACCATGCGTTGTAAATCGTTTCTGATCCATTGTCTTTAATAAGAGTGGGAGAAATATTTTTTGACTTATAAGCTAAATGATTGAGAGAGTTCCATATTTCTCTAGTATTAGAGCTCTCCTCAATTACTGGCCCTGGCCCCGCCGTCACCAACATCCCTCAACTCAACACTCAGCCTCAACTCTGAGGTTTTCCCTCAAATATCTCATCTCACCCTCAAGTCACCGTCACCAAAAAAAATTGAGGGATTATCCTGAGGAAATCCTCAAATATTTAAGGATAGCTTCATAGCAACCTTAAATATTTCCTCAAGCAAATTTAACATGGCTGGCAGACGTCGTAGACGACGTAGGTTTCGGAGATATCGCAATCGACCGTCAAAAAGGGTGATACGAGATCGACTGAACCCCTTAGAAGCCTACACAGACGATGAACTTTTTGACCGCTATCGATTTAGGCAGGCTTCAGTCGTGTATTTACTGGATTTGATAGGTGGGACTTTGATAGATAGTACAAAAAACAATGCCTTACCTCCGCTTTTACAGCTCTTCGTGTGTCTGAGGTTCTTTGCGACAGGCGCCTATCATAAACTAATAGGTGATAGCATGAATGTGTCTGAGTCAACTGTCGGTAGATGTTGTAGATCAGTCACTAATGCCATCCTTACTGTCAGACAACAATTCATTGTTTTCCCTAGAGACGAACAAGCACGGAAAACGAAGCAAGAGTTCATCAAAATTGCCGGTATGTTGTTCGTCGTTTTGTTTTCTTTTCTACTTTCTCTTTCAAAATTTACATGTAGGAAGGATAACTCGTTCTTTTCGATTTCGTGCATGTACAGGGTGTTTCACAATATATGTCACACATCTAAAGACAGATAGATAAAAAACACAAGCTACATATATTATATATCATTTTAATCAGCATTTATTCAATTTTTTTTTTAGTCAGAAGTATCCAACAGTTACTATGGCAAAATAATAATCCTGTAATGTTAATTCCCCAAGTGTTTCCCAACATTGTCCTAAATAATTTTACTTTCAAAATTCTGACCACTGTTTTGTAAGTTTTACAGGATACTTGAGATTTGTTATTTGTTTGAACCCCTAAAGTGCCTATCTTTTTTTATTTTATTAAATCTTGCAAATTTTAACCGGCTCTGAACGTGAATTGGCTTTAAATGCTGAAATTAATCTTGTATGAAGACACACTTAACTCAAATGTAAGATTTGTAAATACACTTGATACACTTACCGGCATTGTTACAATCCATTTCCCTAAACTCAGATCTAACTTTCATGAGGTTTTTTTTAATGATTGACTTCACTTAACATTGATTTCATCTCTTCTTGTTTTTTGGGGGGTGGGGTAGGGTAGGAGAAAACAGGATTTAACTGTCTTTCATCTTTACAATATAATTTAGTTTAAACTCTCTAATTATTCTTAATATATATGAAACTAGAGAGCAATTACGGGTCTTGATATTTTTCATGACCACACCCTGTACAATATTTAGGATGCTGTTCTATAATAAAAGTTTACAACAATTTTTTTTCCCCGCAACTTGTACTCCATTTTGAGAACAGCTGAAATTATGCCATCACTGATTATATCTTCAGTTACTTCATAGTTTATTATAATTTTCCCAATACTTTGCAATTTCATAATTTTATACCAACATGCTGACCTATAGTGTTTTGATGAAAAATGAAATAATTATATATGGTAATGAATCGGTAAATTGAATCATTCGTTATCTATTTCAGTCTTTTGCGTGTGTGTGTGTGATAAGATTTGACCCCCCCCCCCTGCACGATTTAAAAGATTTAATAAATCATTTTTTGTGTATGGCGATGGGCCTCTACCCCGACCTTAAACTGCCCCCCCCCCCTCCCCTCGCCTTTTCAAGATCACACCTCTGTTTATGACTATGTTTATTTAAAGGGATGTCATATCTATATATGTACTATTTTACCACACATTGTAAGTTAGACTCTTCAATAAATAAAACTTAAACATTATACATTATATAATGAATTTACACAGGATTCCCGAACACACTGGGATGCGTTGATGGAACATTCATTAGAATTATGGCTCCAACTGAAAATGAACCGGATTTTGTGAATAGAAAGGGATTCCATTCTTTGAATGTACAGGTCAGTATTTTATTTCTTCTTTATTTTCTTTGTTGTTTTATCTCATATCAAATGCTTCCAATGTTGAAGTTATAGACTATTTAATCAAAACATCATGCAGTGATACAATGAAGCGCATTGAAGTGGTAAAATTTTCCGTTCGAATGGAACGTTTTGAGCTATCTTTAGAATGTTTATTGTCATCTTATGACACGCCCATTTCTTTAGAAATGGATAAAACGGTCAATTTGTTTATTCGAATACCTGTAGAACAGGTTTTCCATAAATATAATAGCCAATGAAATTGACGGTTTAAATAAATACCGAGTAAACACGTGTTCGACCAAAAGATGTGTTGTGGTAACTTCAAAAGACATGATAAGTTCAAAAATATGTACATATTCGTTGCAATTTGTGTTTTACAAAAGCGGAGAGTCTCTATCTCTCTCTTCTACTTTTTCTAAAGCTCCATTTCAGTGTAACTCATATTGCTTGTCGCGAAGAATGGGGTGTCCTAAATTCCTAATATAAAACATTACCACGAATATTTCTTTCTCGTTTCTAAAAATATGGGCGTGTCATTATCTTGTAATTGACGTTTAAAACATGACTCAGAACCGTTCAACCAAACGAAAAATTTTACCACTTCAATGCGCTTCATTGTATGAGCGTCGTCTTTGAAAGGGGCAGCCAATGAAAAAATCTATTCCCCTGAAAAAAGGACTTGATAAGCAGAATTTTATTTTAAAAGTCGTTTGAACTCCTAATTACTAAATCATATTTATCTGACTATACTGCAACAAAAAGTTGCCTCCCACACCCCTTCTGATGCTTCGAGACTGCATATCAATATTATTTTTATTTAAATTCTTTAACTTTGCAGCATTATATGCAATTTATCAGCAATCTTAAAAAGTTAGGGTTTCATTTTGATTTCAAATAGATGGTTTGTGATGCCAACTTCCAATTCACGAGTGTGTGTTCCAGCTGGCCCGGTAGTGTCCATGATAGCAGGATTTGGCGGGAATCATTCCTTTGTCGACAATTCGAAAGAGGTAAACAACTTTATTAATATTTTACTAAAAAATATTGATCCATTTGTTTATCGATGGAGAAGGGAAATAAATTTGAAATGTTGAAGGTTATTATATTCTAGAAATTCAATTAAGAAACTCTTGTACGTTTAGGTGAACACAATGGCATTTTGTTGGGCGATTCTGGATACCCCTGTCGACGCTATTTAATGACACCATACCTCAACCCGCAGACAAACGCTCACCAATGATTTAATGCATCTCTGTGTCGAACCAGAGTTCTTATTGAGCAGAGTTTTGGTATTCTGAAACGGAGGTTTTCCTGTCTTCAAGGAACTCTGAGGTAAAGAAGCTTTGCATTATTTAGATGAAATACATGCAACTTCTAAAAAAACATATTTTGCTATATTCAGTAAATAATACCCTCTATATTTTTTTAACAGATAAACCGTCTAAATATTTCATATTAGCTCCAACTAAAAATATTGACGGCCATCTCTTGGGGACTACCACAATCAAAATACATCTAATTAAGTAAAAATTCAAATCTATTTTTTTTTTTACAGAACGGCCCCTGAACAGGCAGTAGCATACGTTGTCGCTTGCGTCATCCTTCATAATCTTGGGATTCGAACTGGTGATGTGATGGATAGATTGGACCAGCAAGAGGATGCATTTGATCCGACGGCCCATCAAGTTGTGTGCAATTCTCCAGAGGGAAGTCACTTGCGAGACTATATCGCACAGACGTATTTCGGGTAGAGCTACATGTAGGTATGCACATATTCATAAACACTTGCATATTTTTGAATTCATAATACCGAAGATCACACAACTTACTTGTATGTATAAAACTATACATTGATTCAACCAATGACAAATGATTATTTATATAACATTTTTTGTCTATTTCAGGTCATTTTCAAGTGGTTGACGGTTTATAGTGACATATGTTTCAGAATTTCATTTGATATACTGAAGTACATGCGTTTATTTATTGTTTAAAAAATAAATATTTCACATTTACTGATCCCAATTCAAGAGTTTGTGATCTATTCAGAGCCTCTCAAAAGTAGTAAGTCATTGACACACAGGGTTTATGATGAATTCTGGAAATTCAGAACTTAATTTACACAATAAATATGATTTTTTAATCTCAAGCATTTCAATCTCCGTTTGCAATTTTTTCTCCTCTAAGGCTAATTTCTTTTGTTCTTGAACAAGCTTGTTTATTTGTTGTGTCAGCTTTTCATTTTCAAGTTTACTATTTTTTATATCTAGATCATACAAGATCTCTCGTGGTGCCATCCTCCTCTTCTTCTCTTTAGGCCGTACATCTTTCACAAAAAATATAAATGCAAATATATACACAGTACTTGCGTATGTACCATTTTATCAAAGATTAATGTTAATATATTTTTAAAATGATAGGTATCTTACCTGAATTTGTACTAAATGATAAACTTAAACCGGAGCTCTTTGATGTTGAAGCATCACCGGTTCCTTCAACAACTTCTGCTAACTCTTGTGTTTGGACAGATGTTATTGGTTCTATAATTACAAGGTACATGTATATTGAATGTTTAAAGTTTTCCGCGGTCCCAAAATATGACATCTTTTTAAATTCTTAACTCTACTAGAGAAGGAGAATTTTACTCTGGCAAAGTTCTGCCTCTTACATAAGTGACATTGTTTAAATTACCATCGGTATCAATGCTTCCCACCAGGCCAACAATGTTGGGTCGAGTATCCATCGCCTGGTACAATGCCTCCTCTGCCTGAGTTAGGGGCGCTGATGGTGGACCTCCCCCAGTCTTGGGCCTGCGTATGTCATCAATGTTCTCTTTTGCTACAATTGATGGCTATTTTAAACATTTCTCATTGATAAATATTTCCAAAAAAAAACTTTGCTCAACTCTAAAAAAAAAAAGGTAATAATATTTTACCTCTCTGTTTGATGTTATCATACTTTTTGTAGATGGAGTCAGATGTTCTGTCGTTTTTAAATTGTCTGTATAAATGAAATTAAAAACAAAACATTGATAAATTCTAATTTGTGTTTGACAAATTTGACATCTAATTTTAATTAGTGTAACATTTTTTTTTTAAATATTATAGTGGATAATCACATAGAATATACTTAAACATAATTATATTTTGTTTATTTAAATAGTTATATTTTTGTTTTGTTTATTTAAAAAAATATATTTTGTAGTCATTTATATTCGTTTTCTTGTATCCTAATATTGGAAAAATCTGTAGGATGGTCAAATTATCCCCCCCCCCCCCATTTGGGACTTGATTTTTGATTTTAAAATGAATTTCTTTAATCCCCAATATTATTAATGTCTGAAGCCTCGGTCTGAAGTGGTTTGTACAGATATTTGAGCCCCCACCCGCTTTCGTCGTTGTGACCAGAAATGGTATATAATACACGACATATAAGATGTAACCAACATATGTGATGCTGTTTAAGATGAGTTTTTATTAAAATACCGGAGGAATTTTGATTAACTGTGGGCATTTACAGTTACGAACAGAAAACATTGTCCGTATTAATTTAGGACTGGAATATACTGGGATAAAATTTGTGTTTACACCTACAAAGGGAGATCACAGCGAGAATCTTCTGGTCATGGTCAAAACAAAAAGTAAGTGAATTCAGATTGATATAACAGTACTCACAAATTCAGTGTGTCAGTGATGGACTTCCAAGTTTCTTCTTTTACCTTTCCATGTTTTCTTTTAACCCCGCCCCTTTCATCTTTCCAAATAGTTGTTGTTCGAATTTTAAAACCTCTTCAATTAAAGTTATCTCCTCCTCGCTGGTCCAATTAGCCCCCCGTTTCCTTTTACCCCCTGATATCAACCCAATTATGTCTTTCTCAGCCATTTCCATACCAAAATAACACACAGACGACAGATATTTATTGCGTAAAGTCATTACGTAAAAATTCCGCGAAAGTGCGCGATGTTATTGATGTAACAACTCAACAGAGTTGAGGGGAAAAAAATCACCTCTATTGAGGTGATACTCAGTCTGTTTGGTGACGGTGAATTGAGGAAATCCTCAGTTAGGGAAACCTCAAGGGGTTTGAGTTGAGTATTGAGGTTGAGGTTGAGGAATTTTGGTGACTGCGGGGCCTGAGGTTATAAAACTTAAAGCGTACTCATACTACAACTCAAACTCCAAACTCCGAGTATGAACTCCGCTGAGTACGTTTCTAAATTTGAGGTTATAAAAATTATGAATTAAGTTAACTTTTCAAAAATTTCTTTGATTTTATTGAGTTTCATCAATGTTTGTTTATATTTTAATTTTAATATTATTAAACGCTCAGTATAAATGAAAAATTGAAAAAAAAAAAACAAACAATTAACTTGTAAATTAATCGATGGTATACTCTTGAATAATAGATAATGTACATGTATAATATTGTATAGCATTAGATCAAATTTAGAGTAAAAGATTCTTTTAAAAAACACTTTGTGAAAGGCTGAAACTTAGATTTGAAATAATACTGTCATATATTTTTGTACCGAATCAGTTCATTTTTCTGAACACAGACACCTGGCAAATGGATTATGTAACACCCCACCCCCCATCACTTCTGAAAATTTCTATTAGACCAAAACCTTATCAAAAATACATGATATCCTATATAGTCTATCATTTTTACATTTCGATATTTGATATTATTCTCCGCTTTTGATAAGATTAAGAGTTTGGCCTTACATGGTATACTAGTATAAAAAGGGCATGTATTTCAGACAAGTTTTTGGGTTTAATAAAAATTCTGAGAAACTGCGGGGGGAAGGGGGGTTGGGTTGTTACACTATCCATTCATTAAGTGCCTGTGGTTCGGAATCAGTCAAACGACTGTACTAAACAGTTAAATTTACATATTAGATTATTTAAATAACAAATAAAAAGAAATTACTAAAATTCAATCATTTATGATAATGCAGGCATCACATTTTTACGATTGTCAATATGTATAGCGAACACGAATTATGGCGTACATTGTATGGACCCAACACAAATGGATCATGCAAACCGGTAGATGGGGTGAAAGAACCCAAAACAAGACACTTGAGATTGACCCTGAGGTTGGTTTGGAGCATACTTGAACATTCTTGAGTTCGTACTCCGTAGGAGTTTGAGTATAGTATTTTTTTTATAACCTCTACTTTGTGAATGTGAATTTGGAGTATGGATGTTGAGTTTGAGCACGTATTTGAACTCCAAAAAGTTTTATAACCTCGGGGCCTGGTTTGTAAAAAATACATTTTACATATTAATCAAAAGTGTAACTTTTTTCCTCCAATGTCGAAAATCATCAAAGTCTTCATGTTGATGATAATAATCTCGTAATTGTCTAGCATCATTAATTTCTTGGATTTACCATTTTGGATGAGAATCAGGTTTTACACATTTAGTTTTTTTTACCTTAGCATGCTTATTGAGAGAAAGTCTTCCTTATTAAAATTCTGCAAATCTCTGTATTGAATTCCAGCTCGTTTTCCCTTACGCTGCATTGTTATATATACGCCTTGCATAAACAGGGTAATGGTCAGAGAAAGCTATGGGTGGTACTTGAATTTCGCGGATGTCATCAAGTTGGGTAGTGTAGAAACGATCAATAAGGGGAAATGGAGTATTAGTTATTCTAGCAGGTGTGGTAATTAGCTGAGAAAATCCAAATTCTTCTAGAGCAGATGTCCAAGATTGAGGGGTTTTTAAGCCGATCTATATTAAAGTCACCTGTAAATATTATTTCATAAGTTCTATGGTCGATACAATGACCTTGTCAGCAAATACAATTTATCATTGAGTCAAATGCTGACTGACGTTTTTCATACCAATCGTTAGTCCATTATTTATACACTGAATTGACGACAGATTTTTCCGTTATTTCCTGATCATGACAATAAACACACGGCGGGTGTGACCGGTCAGCAGGGGATGCTCACCCCTCTATGGAACCTGATCTCACCTCTGTTTTGGAGGTCCGGGGTTGCTCTACTTCTATTTTGTATTGTTTTGTGGACCTTGAGATTGAATATTGTTCGTTATCTCCAATCCATCTTCTTGGTCATCACAGCAGGGGGCACAATTCATCTCTCTCGCTAGGGTCATCCACCCAGCAGGAGGGTGCAGATGTATGAAATATGAATTCTAACAATATTCTCTCAATGTTATTGATTTCTAAATCTGTTCGACGTTTATAGGATAAATCATTTGAGATATAAATTACAATTATATCACCTGCCTTACTTTGTCTTTCTTTTCTTTCAAGTATATGGCAATCTAATGAATCTATACTGAAATTTGAATCACTAATATGGTCCTGTAAAAAATTCCTCAGAAAACCGCACACATCCATAGATCGTCCATGTTGTTGCATTAATTTCAGTTCATCCAATTTTAGAACAGGATGAAAAAAGAGCAAGAGCCAATTTGGGCCTTATTTGGCCATCAGAATTTCTGAAAAATCAAAACCGCTGATTTTAGGTTGCAAATGCAGTTTTATCACTTTGAGTGTATCTATTAGTCACTATCGACGTAATTTTCCCTCTTGTCATGTTATTATGATGTCATAGAATGACATTTCCTATATCCCGTAAATTTCTTTGAAAAGGGCCTAAAGTTGAAGTATTTTTTTTAATAGTTCATGTACGGCACAACCTTTAATCCAGAATATGCAAAGACATAATAAAAGATCTCTTTCTGTGGATCAAAAAACATGTTAAAGTTTTTTGGATCCCGGGCTGTGCTCATATTCAAATTATTTGTTGAAGGTTGTCAAATGCGTATTTTTTCTGCAAATTTCATGAACCTTGCAATTTCTCAGTGCCTGTTTTCCAATATCTGGATTATCAAAAAGAAAATTGTATTGTAGGATATAAAAACACCAAGTGTCTTCTTAATTTGATATATGAAATGGGAAAGAAGGTAATAATTAATTGATATAAAGACAGGGCCATTTTATGCATTAAGTAAAGCTAGCTCTTTCCAAAACGCAAACCCTTTTTAACAAGACCAAATCCAGTGTTCACCGGAGTATATTTATTTGTTATGCCTGTAGTTTTGTTTGAATCAAGTCTTTCACAGTCATAGATATTTGC